AATTTTATCAGCAAATCTAGAATGTCACACAACGACCTGTTTTCGTGGCATACAGTATAGGGGTTTTTCGCATCATTGTAAAAGAAGCATTCACGTCAGCCCCATGTCTAAAAAGTAGATCTAATATGGTTGAATTACCAAGCTTAACCGCTACAGGTAAAGCACTGTCAAGATGCGCATGGTTACTACGAATATTTTTTTTACAAAAAGGAAACATTGCGTCTAAAAGCGTTCGTACTATAATCACATCTGTTTCATCTACTCGTGCCTTTCTGTCATTTAAATAATTTATGAAGAACGTGATAATATTGATATCATCATTTCGAATTCCCTTAAAATCATAAATACCAGTCTTTAATATAATCTGAATATCACGCAGGTCTTTACTTAAAACAGCACTTTCCAGAAATGTTCTGTCCTTTTTTATCAAAGTCGTATTAAAACTTTCTAGACCTAGTGACTTAGCAATATCACTACCAAATTCGACATGTTCTCTATAGTTAGTTTTAGGGTTTTATGTTTTCTGCCAATGAAAGTTTCTAATAAAGAAAAGTCCAAAACCTCAAAGGCTCTCATCAGAAAAGTGTATCCTGCTGTATTTGTATGAAGAACGTTAATAATACATTGCTCGAGCAGTCTGGTCCCTAGCTGAGAAGACCCGGATGTTTTTATAGAAAGTAAAAGTGCCGTGTCACCGTCTTTGTTGTAACTGTTGATATCAGCGCCTTTATCAGCTAGTAACAGAGCTATGTCAGTGAAACCTTTCTCAGCACATATCAAAAGTGGCGTGTTGCCATCTTCGTCTCTCGTCTCTATATTAGCACCATGAAATATCAGAATCTTTACCAAAAACTCTCTACCATACCTACAAGACAAAAGCAGACCTTGGTCCAAACTTTCTTGGTTAACTTTGTTCTCAGTGTGTATCAGTTGATTAAAACATTCAAGCATTTCTTTAGGTAAGCCAGATTGAGCAGCTTGTTCTATCATGTGTAATATATCACCTTGTGCAACCGGAGTATTTACACTACTCTGTTTTGTTCTACCTCTAGTTATTTCTGGATTGACATGCGATGAAGTCTCAAACACAATAGATAATCCTTCTGACTTGCTATATGTAACGTTTGGGCTTCTATCTTTGGAACTCGATTGTTTCTGCTTCATTTGTTTATTTCTAGTAATGTTTCGGTACATTTTCGGAACAGAATTACCTGAGAAGTAAATTTAAGTTAGTAATGCATAAAAAGGTGTCGCATGTATACATTTTTATATAACAACAAAGACTGCTTGATATCTAATGCTTCTATTCCTGCATTTTGATTAAATAGCCTCTATGCGTTTTAATTAATATATTTTTCTTCTTAATTAGTTATAGCTCTTTCAAAAATAGGTTAAATGGTGGATTTGTTGTTTATCTTTATTATTACGGATGACCTATAGTTAACAATTTACATGGTCGATCAATTATACTTTCAGAATCAAGATTTCAATTATTAATAGTAGTCTGTCTTCGTTTAAAAAATATTTTATAGCAAATTTATGCCCGTTGCGCGGTCAGTAGTGTACTGTTGGGCGCCTTATGATCATCCAAAGCCTTCTTAATACTTTAGGTCAGCAAATTTGGCATCCTACTTATCTATATTGCTGTTTAAAGAGTGAATTGTTTGTAAAATATATCCCTAATGTGTATGTCAGCGTACGACAAGAACTATTATACTTCCTGAGAAAATAGAGGCTAATCAGGCCAAAATTAAGTGCTTCATTCCGTCTACTTATCTCTGTTATTGTGACAAGAACAATCTGACGTCAGAGGAAAGTTAGAGTAAAATATCAAAATAAGAGTCGCCCATTGATATGTGTATAACGATACTAGTTGTGAACGTCACATATTATCAAAATAAGCAGACATAAAAGTTGATTTTTACGAGTAATAGATACATATTTTTACGATTTTATTTCAAAATGTTTTTATTAATTGGATATCTCAAATTGAAAATAAAGATGACGAGCCGACCCGCGGCGTATCATACGCCGCTATTTAGTTGTTTTATTTTCTACTTTTCAGTAATTCATAATTTGTGAATTCGACAGTACCAATGCTGCCACTGAAAATATTTGCTTTAAAACACTACCCCGCCCCCCTTCCCCTACCCTACCCTACCTCCCCCCCCCGTGAAAGCAGCCTCCACTTAGTTACCTCCTCTAAGTTTAAAATCGTTACAAACTAAATTATCTGCCCCTAATAGCCGTCACTAAACCCGGCTCTATGTTTGTAAACATTTAGCGTGACCACAGCTCACCATACCATGTGGTGGGTGGGGGTGGTAGTGATAGAGATGAAGAGAGGGGACTGCAAGGCGCGCTTGCAGCTTGTTTTCTAACGTCTCCCAGAAGAGAATTATATATATAGATTGTTTTCATAGATAAATAAAAATCTGTCATATTTTCATATAAAAATATAATAGTGTGAGGGGTGGTAAATCTGTTTCAGTAAATTTTAAATAAGAAGGCTGAAAAAACGAGTGTTTTAAAATGTGTGTTGTGGTAATTTAAATACAATATTTTTAAGAAGTCTAAACAAATTGGGGTGGAAAATCATAATGTATTTTACAATACCCAGTGTTTTTTTTTTAATAAATTTGTATTATTTTTTTTGAAACCACTTTAAAGCAAAAAATGCTGCATACAAATTATTTTATTACAATTTTAATAGTAATTTAAAGCAGTTAATATTCAATTTTAAAAAAAAAGGTATAAGAAATATAGCTAACAAGAAAAATAGATTTATCTTAAAATATTTTAATGTTGTATTTTAGTTAACAGGAATTAGAAAAACATGTTAACAATATTCGTTAAACTTTTACCTTTTTTTCTTGTAAGCATATACTTACTATTGTTTTTAATTTATAAATTAACTAACAATAATTGTGCAGCTTATTATGTTTTTAAGGTTTACTGCACCAGCATTAGAAACACAGCTAGTTTTGATAGCACCAACCATAATATATTAACTGTCTCTTACTTGAAAAGGCTGAAGAATCTAGAAGTTACGTCTTGACGCTGATAACAGTTTGTTACTAAAGTAAATATAATTTAAAACCAGCATCCAGACATTATTTTTATAACCATATTAAATCATAAACTTAAGATACCTAAGTTAAAAGCTGAGTTATCATTTTACATAATTAAAATATCTAGATGCCTAGATTCAACCCCTTCTTCACCACCACCCCCTACACTCCCCCTCCCCCCCCAAAAAAAAAAACAAAAAAAACAACAATAAAATAAAAAATTCAACCATTGAAACAAATTCAAATAAATTGTGGAAGCAAAAATGTACAGTTTATACAATATTTAGCATATTTAGTGTTTTACTTTTTCTAAATATTAATTTCGGGTTTGATTGCTTTTTAAAATTAAACTATTTATTTATATGTTTAACAAGGTCTATGTGTTATTTACTAAGATAATCTTAAATCAAAGTTTTATAAAAATAGCGATTGTTTTCCATAACAGGTGATAAAAGCAATATTATCATCAACACGAATCATTGGTCGCATTAATTGACTTAACTCGGCATTAAACTTGTCCTTAGGGTTAACCAAATATTCTAAATATAGTCCTAATAGCTGGTTCAAAGACCAAAAGAAAATATGTTATGGTAAATGTTTGTCAAAAATTAATATACGAGTTTTCTTTAATTACACAGACACAAACATCGAGATACAACTAAAAACGTGTAAGATTGCATATTCTTAATAACATAACATGAAGCTTAATTGTAAAAATTAAATTTAATGTATTTTCTACAACTAAAATATCTGTTAGATTTTATAATGCTATAGAAAACAAGGAGGTAAAGGAAACGAATGTTATGAGCCCAGGACAAAAAGAGAAAAGAAAACATAGTGCCAAATCGGTAATAACAAAAAATGTAAAAAATATGATAATAATGTGTAAGAAGGGACATAATTCGGATACGAAACACTTATGAAACAAACATATTATTCACGTAAACAAAAAAGCGCAATATAGTTATTTTGGGCTCAGATAGGTCGAAGAGCTATGGATAATTAATTGAGTACGAAAATACTATTCCTCCACATTTTATATCTTATAACAATGTTTACAAAATATTTTTTTAAAAGATTACTAAGAATTCTATTGACACAAAAATAGTATTATCTTTTTTCAAATGGGCTCTATAGCCTATGTGTACAATGCCATCTAGCTAGCTGAAGCGATACTCAAGTATCACACACATACACACACACTCACAGAGAGAGAGAGAGAGAGAGAGAGAGAGAGAGAAAGAGAGGGAGAAAAAAAAGACCGACGCGCATACACAACATTGCAAAAATAATTTTGTTTTTACTCAAGAAGGTAAAAATCTCGATTTTTTGATAGCTTGGAAGATTAAAGTGCTTCCCCAAAATCCTACTCCATACACGAAAATATAATTTAAAAAAACTTGCATTATTTTTATCCTCATGAAACTTTCAAGAAAATGAAAGGCGCAACCCCGTCTATTTACAAGAATCAGATTTGGTAAATAATAAATTTGGCTATCTAATGTATCTAGTCTTTGCAAAATAAGAGTTCGGCCAGACTTAGTGTCTTTAATCTAATGTCTGCCTCGTAATATTAATTTCTAATTTTAAATTAATGCCCGCCTGTTATGTATTAACAAATATTCGTAGATAAAATTGTTTTCATGCGATTGCTGTTGATAATTATATAAACCATTCGATCATCAATAACGATCATATTATGAAGCAAAATGTAGAAATGCATGCTACCCAACTGAATACTATTTACGATAGATTCATTATATTGTGAACTAGCCTTGTAGGCTATGCTTTGCTCAAGTCATATCAAATTGAGAACAATAACCAAAAAATTTTCGTGATTTATAAATGAACATTTTAAACACTGATCCGCATAAAGCGACGCTTAAAAAAACGCAAAAGCAACAACTAACTTCGATCGTGACGTCATCCTTAATATCAAATTGTGAACGATAACTGAAAAATGTGCGTGAGTTATAAATAAAGATTTTAAACTGATCAGTATAAAGCGACGCTTAAAAATAAACAACTAAAAGCAACAACTAACTTTTATCCTGATCCTTAATATACAGATAAACAAGCATTAAACTTTTCCATTTTGAAACAATTGTCTAAAAATCCGAGTCATAGACTGTGTTGTAGTCATCATACGAATCGTCTGTTGAATAATATTCTTGATAATCATAGTCGAAAATATCTCATGTATCTGAGTCGTCTCTTAGTAATCGTAACGTGTATAGGCGCTCATACACTGAATATTCGTCGTCAGTATCATCAGCATGTAGTTCAAATTCAGCCTTTTCGGCGTGTCTAAATAACAGCTTATCCTGAAACATTTTCGGAATTGGTAACTTTTTAACACGTTCTTTTCTGTCAGCATCAGCACCTACAGCAGACGACACGACAACAAAACTTAGTTTCTGTAGAGACATGGGCTGGGATTGATACTCGTCGATAAATTGTGTACATTCACTGTTTTCATCTTCTTCAAACAGTCCCCTAAATTGTTGATTAAAGGCAGCATATGAAACATCAGTCTGCGTTAAAAACCAAATGTCGTTCAAAAATCGAGCAATGTTTACATATCCTTTGCACAGAGATAGCACGAATGGCGAAATTGAATGCAAGGGAGATTCGTATTCAAAATCATCAAAGCTGTCAGGTGTTAATTCAGCAGGTCCCAAACCTAATGTTAGTATATGTTTCAAACAACTGACTTCTTTCTTTAAAATTAGTTGATGAATAATAGAGGGACTTAAACATGAGCAATCTGCCCCCTTTTCTATCAGGTAAATTACAAGATTTTTATCATGACGCATGTTTAGCAGTATTGAAAGGGCAGTTTCATTTTTCTTTTCATTAATTACATTGATCTCTGCACCTGAATCACACAATAATTTTAAGACGTCAAGCGACTCATTCTTAGCAGCTAACATCAGAGGTGTATACCCTTCAGTATTATGATGATTGACACTGGCCCCTGCTTTAATTAACATCTCTATTAAATCAGCTTGACCACTAAAAGATGATGAACACAAGTTAAGCAGAGGTGTATCTTTGTTGTTGTCCTCACAATTTACATTAGCATCATTTTCTATCAAAAGTTGAAGCATCTGTGAGTTTCTACTCTGTAAGCAATAAAACAGCGGTGTTCGTCCTTCTTTAGATTTTAAATTAACTTCAGACTTGAACTCCAATAAAGCTTTTGCATTAGGAATAGATTCAACATTTACAGCGAGATGTAAAGCACTTTCACCGTCGTTATTCTGTTGGTTGACATCTGCCCCAGCTTGTATTAGATTACGTAAAACTTCTTCCGTGTTCGACATTTGTGAAGCTCTTATTAATGGAGTGTTGCCTTCTTTGTTTCGGACATTAACACTTGCACCATGGTGTAAAAGTAACTTTACTTTTTTTTACTAAATAATCAAACCCGCTTTCCACTTCGCTTTCTTTTAAAACAAATTCTAGAACTGATACACAATTTCCGTAATAATCTACTTTTGCATTTACGTCTGCGCCAATATCAATCAAAAATTCCATCACATTGACATCCACAGCTGACATTAACGGTGTTTTACAATCGTAACTTGCATTAAGGTCTGCTCCTCCTTGTACGAGTAGTTTGATTATCTCTTTATGTCCTTCACATAATGCGAGGTTAAGAAACTCTGGCCCTTTGCTTTTAATCATCATGATTACATTCATGGGGAAATGTTCTTTTAAAAACAAAAATGATTCAACTCGATTGTTTCTTACAATATTTTTTAAGGTTTTCTCAATTTTAGCTCCGTATTTAATGAGCAGTTTTGCGCAATCAATTTGTCCATGCTTAATGGAGGATTCTAATGCTGAACTCTTATCACACTCCGCTTTACCATTTTGTATTAACAAGTTTATAATGTCACATCGTCCCTTCTCTGCTGCTAAAGCTAAGGGAGTAGAATGTCCATAACACAAATATTTACGTGAGCTTACATCTTTAAGTTGACAGAACATTTCCACTAAATCATAGGAGCCAAGTTTTACTGCTGCCACCAACGGCTGATTATTTCCTCTGTAATGAGAGTTCAGTGGGGCTCCAGCTTTTAATAAAGCTTTAATAATACTCAAATTTTGTTCAGTTATTTCTCGACCACTCTGCTGTATATTCTTTAGCAATTCTGGCAAAATAGAAACGTTGACTTCTTTGTGATTTCCCCTAAATTCAACAACTTGACAAGATAAAAGAAGCTTTATTTTGTAAATGTCTTTCATTAAAACTGCTTTTTTCAGGATAAATTTGTCATATTCAGAATACTCAATTAAAAATGATAGAAACGATGTTAAACCTAAACTCTCGCCAATTTTTGTAAAGCTGTGTTCACTTTGAGCATAGTGTTTCGGGGTATATCTACCTGTATTCCATAAATGTGCTAGCAGCATTTTAAATAATGGAAAGTTTAGGACTTCGAGGGCTTTCATGAAAGCGTCATATGTATATTTATTTTTATGGCTGACATTTAAATAATTTTTTTCCAAAAGTTTTTTTATTAGATGAGACGACCCGTATGTTGTGATAGAAAGTAAAAGTGCCGTGTCACCGTCTTTATTGTAACTGTTGATATCAGCGCCTTTATCAACCAGTAACAGAGCTATGTCAGTGAAACTTTTCTCGGCACATATCAAAAGTGGTGTGTTGCCATCTTTGTCTCTCGTCTCAATATTTGCACCATGAAATATCAGAATCTTTACCAAAAACTCTCTACCATACCTACAAGACAAAAGCAGACCTTGGTCTAAACTTTCTTGGTTCACTTTGTTCTCTGTATGTATCAGTTGATTAAAACATTCAAGCATTTCTTGAGGTGAGCCAGATTGAGCAGCTCGCTCTATCATGTGTAATATATCACCTTGTGTAGCTGGAGTATTTTCACTACACTGTTTTGTTCCATCTGTAGTTAACTCTGTACTTGAATGTGATGTAGACTCAAATTCTAAATTTGTTTTTTTCGGCATGCTACATGTATTTTGTTGTTTGCTGTCAAAGGGATTCGATCGGTTTTGATGTTTCGTCTTTTCCCTCCAATTATTTCGTGGCATTTCGAAATTAGAATTAGCTGAAAAGTAAAAAAAAAACATAAATAAAATGTATGACAATAATATATGAATTGAAACTGATTCAGCTAAAATTATGTATGAAGTAGCATATCACTTACTGTCTACCAATCAAAGCTGTGTAACTACAAGCAATATACCGAGAGTGATCCCTAAACTTTCTCGAATATTCTTAAATAACACTAATTGGGGTGGAGTCAGAGGTGTCTCGAGGCGAGGGCGGGGGATGCGGACCACACCGGGTGACACCGAGACATGAAATTGAAATATGTATAGAATACATAATGTTTTTGCCAGTTCAATGAATGGTTAATTAGTGTTTAAAGAAATATTTTAAGTAGATAATGGCGATCGCGATAAGGCTACGGCGGGAGGGGGGCACAATGACGTTAACATGCAAACTATAGAGAAAATAATGCTACACCAGCTGTATTAAAACAAACGACTATATATAAACATCATTAGCATTAAATGTGAATTCTTTAAATGTATTACCGTGGGAGGGGGGAAGGGAAAGTGACACCAACTGCACTTTTACAGAGCAAAAAGGGGGGATGACATCATGAGGTGCCGCACATGGTGCCACACGACCTAGCGAAGCCACAGGGTGGAGTTAACCCCTCCCTGTAATGGACCCTCAGCTGTTGGCGACGGTGAACTAGAGTCGCTATCATTTAGGGCTTATACAATGAAGACTCAGCTTCGCAGTATCTAGCACGACAATATATCCAACTGAGAAGAGAATTGCTAGTAGGTCATATTAATATCGCGGGACGGTAATTGATAATTATATATACAAGGCAGATCAAGAATAAATTACTATGCTAATTATAAATAGGAATAGGAATAATGGTGAGGATGAGCGTATATATAAAAGATATAGGGATATAAGAATATAGAAATAATATTGGGATATAGGGATATATGGAGTTATGTATATATGGATATGACGGATGTCATAAACATAAACATTTGACTGGGTCATTTTCTCTTAAACATATGGGTCTACATGTCTCTGCCTAGGTACATGCACGTAAACGGGAATATTTAAGTATAAATATTTGATTTGCACAATGTTTTATATATTTGTTTTGAAATTTCAAATGTTTATTATACGTTGTTGTTTTTTTTAAATTCACTAACTCATCTCAACCATTCAACGATGTATTAAGACCTGAACTTCACTCTTTCAATTTTTTGCCTTAACCTTTAACTTTCATTACATCTTGCGTCCACATCAAACTTAATTCCTAGCCTGACTAGTTTAATTCAAAGTTAAATCTTTAATTTTAACCAGATAGATGTGGTATAGCTTTTTTTACTCCGCCTCGTCTATACATCTCGAGTTCGAATCCGGGTTCAAGTCAGTAGACCGTCTGTGAGTCCACCTAGCTCCGCCGCGTACCTTACGTACGTAGGTAAAGGCGGCTGAGCATAGTGCTGACCACACTATCTCTTCATATGCCGAGGTCACAGAAACAAGTGAACTCTACCTCACTTTCCCCGTAGACCGTCAGTTTTGAAAGGGCACATTACGTTTTACTTTACATCTATATATATATATATATATATATATATATATATATATATATATATATATATATATATATATATATATATATATATATATATATATATATATATATGTATATATATAAACAATGAATATTTTACCTATTAATGACAAAACAGGTACGTACCACAGCGACACAGTGTCCGTTCAATGAAGTCAGCTTCACAGTGTCCGTTTATTTGTAGTCAGCTACACAGTGTCTAATCAGTGAAGTCAGCTTCACAGTATCTATTCGGTTAATCATACGTCAGCTGATTACACAGTGAGAAGAGAGTGCGTCATTTTCCAAGTACATAAAACGAAAGCGTTGCGTCTGTATTGAAACAATTTTTGTTTTGTTCTAGATATAGTATTTCTGATAGAAGACACGGTTAATTAATTTCGAAAATGTGTTGACAAATGTTATTGCAATTTCAAAAAGAAAAATTAGTTTTAACTATCGCACTAGCTGAACTATATACATACCTGAAAACATACTCTTGTATTAAGATACTGCATTAAACATTTAAGTGTGTGAACAGATTTCACACTTTGATACGTACACACACACACACACACACACACACACATATATATATATATATATATATATATATATATATATATATATATATATATATATATATATATATATTTATTTATTTATATATATATATATAATCTTATAATTTCAACTAGTTGTAGTTTGATTTTGTGCTTCCCTTTTTATTTCACTTTCAGTTTGTATACAACGTAGAAGATTCTCCGTATGCTAACGTCAGCACTAAGGTTGGTTAGGTAATCCAGTACATGCACGATCATTAGCTTAAGTTTAATCTATTACATTGCAGGGTGTGTTATTACCATTACACAACTACTGAGAACTACTCTTTAAAACGAACGTATGCGCCATAACGCTCACGGGATAGCCCGGAACGCCAAATTGCAACCTGCCTGGGCGCCTGGGAACACAGTGATTCAATTTAGTGAAGGACTAAACGCCACATCTTATTCGTAGCTCATCGCACTGTTTAAAACGAACGTAGGCGCTATAGCTCTCACGGATAACACAGGGCGCCAAAGAGCTACCTGCCTGGGCGCTTCCCGTGGAAAATTGAAATGTTTTCTAAAACCGAGTTAGTTATTAAAAATAACGTACACGCTAAAGCGCACAAGAGATAATCCAGGGCGTCAAAAGGCACCATGTCCGGGCGCTGGATGACATGCCTTATTTGATAAGAGTCAACGATTATTGTTGCCCATGTTGTCTTTAGTGTATAGCCTTTTTTTAAACGCAGGGCCATAGTGAACACGTGGAAGCCAGGGGCGCTTCGTTTCACGCAATCGCAGTGTGCCGGCGACTGCGCATGTTATAGTTTAACCTCTAAAAATAGAAGTACCCCGTACCCGCTATGCAGGAAGCCCAATTGATGGATTTCGTAGTGCTAACATAGCCGCTCTGGAACTCTGGTCGCCAAACCGCGTATTAACGTAAATCGCGTCCTCCTGAGGGCCCCTAATAAGAAATTTAAAATTTTGTTCTCAGAAAAGCGTGGGTCTCTTCCTAAATATTATTAAAGGTATCCAATAGATAAATAATAAAAATAAAAAAAATAAAAAAAGAGATAAATATAGTGACCCACGCTTTTTAAGGTAGTATTGTATTATTATATATTTAAAAAAATATTTTTATTTTCTCTTTTTTAGTGCATTATTACATAAAAGCTTGTTATTAAAACATGTTTAATTTAATTTTTGTTTACATATGTTTAAAGAATGTCATATTATATTTCTAAGTTTAGAATTGCCCATTGTAGAAAATTTTGTTTTTTATTAAGCAGGTATTGAAAGCAGCATGTCTTTTTTCGTGTTCAAAATATCGATTAACATCAAGTTAATCTAATCGTTTAACCTTTATCACGTAAACACCCTCACTCAGAAGGAAGGAAATTATTCACCAAGTTTGTTAGGTAACTGCCAGTTCTAAGTATTGTAGCAGTAAATCTGTCATATACATAATTAAACAGTTCTCGGCTTTTTAACTGCGTGGCATTGTTTATCTAATTTTAGAATGTCAACAAAGGGGATGCAACTCCTTATGTTGCTGACAGAATTATCATGTACTGTATAAGTAAACATGCGTTATCTGTAAGTACTTAGTTGACCGAGTTAGTTAAATTACAGACGGCTGCTTTTTACAATTATCAGTGTTTATTGTAGCTGTTTTAAAGGTATGAATACAACTGTTTTATATATTTAATGTAAAAACATGTTAATTAAACACAACACAGAAAAGCAATGTATTACTATCTATATTTTAGACTTTTTGTTTAACTTATATTTTATTATGTGCTCCTATTTCATTCTTATCAGCTACTAGTACATATCTTTAAACATACAGTTTTGTAATATTCAATATCATTCTATTCTTTTATATAACGCATTGACTCAATTTTATTACAGAGTTTTTGTAATGTAACTTTTTTAACGATCGTACAACAGAAAGAACTAATCTTTAAAAAGGCAATTCGTAAGAGCTTCTAATTTTAACTATCTAAAATCATCTTACAAATTGGATAACGAAATAGTTCTTCAACAACCTCCGTTTGTCAATTGAACCAGTTTTTTTCTCTAAGCCATGGCTGACACATGTTCATGCATTAACGAGGAGAAATGTTTGCGTTTTCTGCAAGATTTAGTTTTAAACTAGAATACCCGTCATCCGTTGGATAACTGTGGGTTTCGGGGGTCATCCATCAAAAAACATCACGTCTGTCACTCAGAGGCATAGCGACCCTTCCCGGCGCCCGGGGACAAACTTTTCGATTTTAACCCCCCCCCCCCAAAGATTTCGATTTTCACCCCCCCCCCCCTCCCTCAAACTTTTGATGTGCACCCCCCCCCCACTCAAACTTTCGATTTGAACCCCCCTCAACCTTTCAATTTATTTTTCCAAACCATTTTGGCGCCCCAACATATGTCCCCCCCGCCCCCCCTCCACCTCCCCCCGCCTCCCCTCCCCCCCCCCCTCCCCTCCCCCCCCCCCCCCCCCCCCCCCGCCTCCCCTCCCGCCCCCCCCCCTCCTCGCTACGCTACTGCAGTGTCACTTATCGTCACAAAAAAACAGACCCCACATTCAAAAATATGTTTCTTATCTTTTAAAAACACCGAAAACACCGATTTCGGACTATCCCTTCCTATACTGACGTCACATGTGACCTACTCAACTCTACTTCACCTGCCCAGTGTCCCGCCAAGTCTCAGACAACATGTTTTTATCGTTTAAAAAACGATTCCAGCCGAGCATGTCTCTGACCACACTATCCTTTCATATGCTTAGGACAAAGAAACAGATGAACTCTACTTCACCTGCCCTGTATCCTGCCAAGTTCAGATAGGCAACTTTATCATTCACATCTAAAAAAAAAAATTGAAAACAAAAGTATCATTGACATTGGTCTAGAACCCGTGCCACTTGCATGAGAGACGGCTACTCTACCAACATAGCTATTTACTCGTGACGTCTCAAGTGAATTTTTATACTATACTTATACAACTTTATTTACGCGCATAGATCTAGATCTAAGTCTAGTAGTAGTAACTTTCAAATTAAATTTTATCTAAAATTAGCCAAACAAAGATTTATATAAAATAAAGAAGGTTTGAAATTATCTATATCTAGATAGAATTATCTAGATCTAGATTCTACGACTCGTTTTCTTAAGTCTTAAGTTAAGTTTTTCTTGCTAGATCTAGATCTAGATCTAATCATTAGCTACGCTCATAGGCCCGGAGCGAGCATTTCAAAATTACCAAATTCCAAACAAACATTTATATAAAATAATAAAGGTCTAAAATAGTTTAGTATATAGAAACTCATTATTATCTAGTTATTATCTAGATCTAAATCTAGATAGAATTATCTATATTCTAGATCTACGACTGGTTTGCTTAAGTCTCGTTTTTTTTTTTTGGATTGTATTTATTTATAACTATTAAATCTTTGATTTGACCTAGATCTAGATTCTAGATGTAGATCTATACTATAAATAACTTTCTTGGACAGATTGTAGATCTAGAGAAATTTATCGTAAAACTAAATGAAAAAGACAGTTGAAAATTGATATAAGTGTTGGAACGTAATAAATACAGCAAACGGACGTATTGTTAAAGTTATGACCCACAGAAAATTAGATTTAGAACGCGTTAAACTTGTGAATGGGAACACAATTTTCTTCGATAGACGCCGCCATTTTATTGTACTAAAGAGTAAACAAAAACCTGTGACGTCACGGTCCCGCCGAGTGTAGTGGTCGTTTTAATCTTTTAAAAAAAAATGGGTTACTCTGCGTATGAATAAATCAATAAATTAATTAACGTCTTTAAATAAATTTGTGATTAACAGTCTGTCTTAAAACAAAAAATTTTCTCTACCTACATACTATTTTACAGCTTTCCACGATGAGTGCAACCATGCGAGATAGTCGATCAGGCAAACAAAAAAACAAACAAAAAAACAAACAAAAAAATAAATATTCAAACATGTAAACAAACTTGACTTTTAGTAGTATATAGATGGTGATGTTGCTGCCGTTAAACAGGTTCTGGCTACAACAGAGGAGAGTTTCATAACGTCAGTGGGTCACACACTACTACAGGTAACAATTGATTGTTTCCAGATAAGTATAGATATCGTACGTGCAATACTTGACGCCGGAGTTGATGTAAATACTTATAATTCCCTGGGATACACAGCTTTGATGCTGGCTGCCAAAAGATTTGACATCCGGGTGATTGAAGTCCTAATTACTTCCGGTGCTGACGTCAATATTGTTCATAGAGTAAAAAATGAGACAGCGTTGTCTATTATCTTTGATGCTGTTCTACGAGGGCCTCTGATACCATCAGCGTTGGCGTGTGTGGATTACCTGCTTGATCACGGGGCGTGTGTCCACTGCGTTGGTCCTGTTATAATCCACAGGCTAATAGCTGAAGGCAGGACGTGTTTAGCCTTGAGGTTAATCCGCTCCGGTATTGGTCCTGTTATTGCCTCGCTGAAACAAACCCGTTTCAGATTCACTTGCTCGTTGTGTATTTCACCACTTTGTTGTGCTTTATTAAACGACGATATTAAACTAGCAACGTATATCAACAAAATCATGTTTTTAACCAAATCTGATTTGTCATTTTGCTCAAGTAACCAAAAAATCATTTCATATTTTAAAGACAGTGGTAAATTAGAAAGCTTGAAGGTCATAAAGGAAATGACGTCACAACCAATGTCTTTACAGAAACTTTGCTTTGTTGTGGTGTCTGTAGCCATCAGCTGTCGTGGAAGTAGATCAAACAATGTCAACTGTCTTCCATTGCCTGATATATTTAAGAGCAGTCTGTGTTTCCAAACGGAGTTGGTACCGGATCTAAAATCGTATGTGTCGTCTGACCCGTTTAAAGCTTTAATTCTGTGGATGTTGGGAGAGAAACGGTACTCACACCGCTGGTACTTGACAAACGTTGACTGCTACAGGCTGGAAAAAGTCACGTGACTTCTTATTCAATGATACCGAGTGGAAGAATTATTGCTACTGTAAGATGCTGCTTTGTGATAACTGCATCAACTTCCTCACAATTCGATAAACAGTCCAGACGGGAATAGAAATTTCATGAACGTTTATAATTATGCATACATTCAAATATATGCAACCATTCAGATATTCAACGTCATCAAGAATGCAGATGTTGAGCATCTTTAAGTATCAATGCATTCAATGTCTGCAACTATCCGATAAGCCATCTTTAAGATTTTACACAACCAACACCTTTAAGTATGCGAACAACTAACATTATTTTATGTAGCACATTGAACATCTTTACCAGCGTCAATTGATCTTAAACACAATTTAAAAGATGTATGCTCAGTTTATTTTTCTATATTACAGTTATACATTTTAAATAATGATTAAAATAAAAAAGTTTAAGCTGTACTTTTGTCCTTTACTCTGCGAATTAGTATGTCATTTATTCTCTCAAAACTTTCCTCTTTTTTTTGTACTTTACTCAACGACTTAGTATGTCATTTATTCTCTCAAAACTTTCCTCTTTACTTTTGTACTTTACTCAACGACTTAGTATGTCATTTATTCTCTCAAAATTTTCCTCTTTACTTTTGTCCTTTACTCAACGACTTAGTATGTCATTTATTCTCTCAAAATTTTCCTCTTTACTTTTGTACTTTACTCAACGACTAAGTATGTCATTTATTCTCTCAATTTTTGCTATAAACTGGCTCACCAACATGAGGATAGTATGATTGGAATCACTGGCTCGAGTGTGAATGACGTCACTGTCCACGTTATGGAAACAAAGTCGGCTGGGTAAATTGCCGACCACATTATCGCCCTGTTTGTCAGGGTCATTGAAAAGTAGATGAACTCTACTTCATCTGCCCCAGGTGTCTAGGGCACAAACGGGAAATGATTATTGATAATGAGCATACGTATGTAATGGAACATTTTCTTTATTAGTGTGAAACAGGCAGCTATAAACACTCGTCAACACCTTAATGCTTGCGTGTATATGACCAATGTTCATTAGCCTTTTATCCCTGACATGGGATAGAGCTTATTTATGAGCTAGGTGACACTTTACATCAAGCGACATTTTACCGACTTAATTTTCGAAAGTGATAAGAAAGCGAAGGAAAAAAAAAACTGGCAAATAACGAAAGCAAATGCTTTTTAGTCTAATTTAATGTAATGAAAATGAATAATTGCATTAGAATGTATAACCGGATTAATAATATGTTCAAAGCTAGATAACTGGGTAATTCCTTTTTTAAAAGTGTTTAATGGGAGTTGTGGTTCCTTTCTTTTGAAACATTTTTGCAATACACATTCTTATTAGATTTTACAAAGTATATAACACATTTTCTACATTGATTCTAAAAATATTCAATAGCTAAATTATTTCCAGATTTTTTATTCTTTTTTTTCTTTTTTTTTCCTTTTTTACGGCTGTTTTGATGGAAAAAATCTAAAAACATGTTGTTATCCAAGTCAATAATGCTGATGGAAGGATTATCGTCAACTCGGTTGTGTCCATTATATATTTAAATAACATTGGTTATTAACTGAAAGAAGCATATTTGTTTTTTTTAAAGTAATATTCCCTGTGGCGCAATTGTCCCATATATTGCGTTCAAAACGTTTATGAATAAATGTCATAGAAAATCAAATATTCCAGTAATCGTCGTCAGAGTCACCGTATTCACCATAGTATAAATCAGAATCGATTTCGTCATGATCGATTTCATAGTTTATCCTGCGTCGATTAGCAAATAGATTCCCTCTTAAATCTAGTCTTTTTGAGCCGCTGGTATCGTCTTCGGCTGCTTGCTCTTTTTCCACGTCACACGCGTGTGTAAACATCAGTTTGTTTTGCCACAACACCGGGAGTTTGAGTTTTTTTACCCGCTCTTCTCTCCCAGACTCCGCCCCTACAGCAGACGACACGACCACAAAACTGAGTTTCTGTAAGGACATGGGCTGGGTTAGATAATTCTCAAAAAATTCTAAACAACGTTCATCTCCTGAGAGCTTTAACCGGTCGTACAAATTACAATCTGAAAGTAATGTGGTTGTGTCTGACTGAGTTAAAAACCAAATGTCGTTGAAATATTTGGCAAGCTGTACATTACCAACAACGAGAGACTCCTTTAAAGGTGAGGTCACAGAAAATAAATAAATATTTAAATTTGACATTGCTTGGTCCAAGACCTAACGATATTAATTTTCTAATAGTGGGTAGTTGTTCCTCACGAATACATGCATGGATGAAAGAAGAAAATACAAATGAGATGTTAGCACCAGCATGAAACAGCAAATAATTCACGCATGGAAAGTCAACAGGTTTATTGTTTGTAAGAATAGACAACGCTGTTTCATTATTTATTGTATTCAAAAAGTTGGCGTCTGCTCCAGTTTCGCATAAAATTTGTAGAACATTGAAATTACTGTTTTTAGCAGCCAGCATCAGGGTTGTTTTTCCTTCTCTGTTCTGGTGATTAAGACACGCACCCGCTTCTGCGAGTATTTTAACGACTTCACCAGCATCGACCTTGTGATGTGCAGCTACTCTAAACAAGGCAGTCTCCCCTTTATTGTCCTCATCATCTATAGTAGCGTCGTTTTCAATCAAGAGTTTTACCATTGCTATGTTCGACCTAGCTACAGCAACCATTAGAGGAGATTGTCTGTCATTACACCCCAAATTAACATCTGCTTGGTTTTTTATAAGTAAATTCGCCATTTCAACTGAATTATTCTCAACCGCATATATTAAAGGGGTTTTTCCTCCAATGCACTTTGCATTAATATTTGCTTTATTGTCCAAAAGAACCTTTACAACTTCAATCGAACGCATCCCTACTGCCAAGTGAAGAGCAGTTTTTCCGTGATTATTTTGCTTGGAGACATCAACACCGGCGAACAAAAGACATTTGATGAGTTCAATAAAGTTTGGTACTTGAACAGCAAGCATCAAGTATGTGTTGCCTACAGAGTCTGTTGTGTTAAGGTCATGTAAATGTTTTATGATGACGCTAATCATTTCCAAAAGAGTGTCCTTGGAATAGAATATTTTCTGATAAAATGCATTTAAAATGTGACTAAGGACAGTATAAAATTCTCCATTTATTAGTACAAGTTTGTTAACATCAGCCCCAAGTTTTATCAAAAGTTTCAACATGTCGCTATCTTTAGCTACCATCAAAGCTGTTTTTTCTTTGAAAACTAAATTAACATCTACGCCTTTATCGACTAGGATTGCAACTATTTCTTTATAACCCATTTCCACTGCTTGAATAAAGACTTCTGCTCCAATCCAGTTCAACGACCTTTGCGCTTCCAGTTGACAGAGCTCTTCTAAAAATAATATAACCTTAGGTTGATTGTTTTTTACAGCAGTAAATATGGCTTTGTTAAAATCGACAAATGCTCCACTTGTATAAAGTAATTTGGCACAATCAAATTGCTCGTTCCGTATTGCATATTCCAAATATTCCTTAGTATTAACTTTACCACCATTTGTAAGAAGGAATCGTATTATATCGCAGCGATCATTATCGATCACTGAATGTACTGAGCTGGGTGAGACAGATGAGACAGTGGTTTTACGACACAATAACTCGATCATCTTCAGGTTACCCAGTTCTAAAGATTCAGAAAGATCTATACTTCTCTTTCTCACTGGCGATTTAGTATCTAATAGCATTTCGACAATAATCAAAGCAGTTGCATTCACTTCTTCATGATTTATTAGTAAGTGATATAAAAAGTCATTGACAATATTATAATCTTCGGTACATTCACCAGTTATTAAAAGAAGTTGTATAGTTCGAAGATCTCTATTAAAAACAGCGTTTTTTAAGAATGTCATATAATTGATCTTAAAAGTTGAATATATTAGCTCCAGACCTAAAGTACTAGCAATCTCTTCATCAGCTTCGAGAACCGAAATATCGCTACAGATTTTAAAATTAGTAATATTGTTTTCATTCGTTCTTTTGTTGAATAGTTCTAGCAATGAAAAATCTAAAACATCAAAAGCTTTAGACATGGCTGTGCATCCATTATTATTTTTATGGCTAAAATTTAAATATGTAATTTCAAGGAGTTTCCTAGCCAGCTCTGAAGAACCGGATGTTGTGATGGAAAGTAAAAGTGCTGTGTCACCGTCGTTATTGTAACTGTTGACATCAGCGCCTTTATCAACCAGTAACAGAGCTATGTCAGTAAAACCTTTCTCAGCACATATCAAGAGTGGTGTGTTGCCATCTTCATCTCTCGTCTCCAAGTTGGCATTATAAAACAACAAAATCTGAGCGATAAATTTTCTCCCATGTTTACAAGCCAAAATAAGGCCTTGGTTCAATATTTTTTGTTTATAACAATGTTTGTTGTTTCGAATGTGATTAAAAAACTCCAAGCCGTGTGCGGCTTTACCTGATTGTATAGCATTATTCATCAAGTGCTCGCTCTTATGTGCTGGATCGCTTAGTGATTTTAACATTTCAGAACTACAACTGTCTTCCATGGATGATAAACATGTAAGAAATGCTGAACTTGCAGAAGACATTATGTTTTTACAATCTGTAGTAACAAAAAATTGTATTATTCTATTTTAAAATATCTATAAAATTATACAAACATACTTTTGTCGATACTTTTTTATTACAAACAGGCATTAACAAAAAGGGATTGTATCCCAATTTTTAAAATATTTTATAAACAAAATTCCCTTTAATTATAGCGAATAGTGCCCACTGTATTAAATAATCAATATCCTTTACATCTTTTAATACTCAAATTAATGGCAAACAGTTTTCAAATTTAAAGTACAGCTAGTAATTATAATTTATCTTTGATCATTACAGGTGCAATAATAGGTCGGTTAACACCCTCATTGTGTTAAGCCCCACCCCCCACCATCTAAATAAAATCTCTCTCTCTCTCTGTCTTACTATATATATATATATATATATATATATATATATATATATATATATATATATATATATATATATATATATATATATATATATTGTGATGACACTAGTTCAAGATAGTATGGTAGAAACAGACTATTGCTAGTTGGTTAGTTGGTAATACAGACTAATGAAAATACAGGAGCTGACCGGTAACGTGGTACGGTCAGCTGACCACTGGAGCGCGGGTTAGGGTTAGGATTAGGCAGCCACTTAGTAGTAGATCATCAGTTAGTAATAGGTAGCGCTGAAAGAGACTGTCGGAGAAATGTAGAGTTAGGTAGAGAGTTAGAATGTAGTTAGAAGGGAGTGCGTAGTTAGTAGAGTTAGCAAATAATATATAGTTTAGGTTAGTTAGATAAGGTACGAAGTTTGTTATGTAAATAAAGAATACTTGTATCTTGAATTCGACTTGTGTGTGTTTTGGATCCCCTTCTATTCACCCCCACCCTCATATATATATATATATATATATATATATATATATATATATATATATATATATATATATATATATATATATATATATATATATATATATATATATATATATATATATATATACAGGCCTATAATTTAAATATGTCATATTTTCTAGCCTCTTGGTAAACAGTCCGAACACTCAACTTAACAGCCAGGACTAAATAAAAAGTATGCCTGCTATTTTACGTGTATTTATTTTGTAACACAATAGCTTAAACTTTTGAACAACCGGTAATTAATTTAAAAAAAGGAAACAAAATATAACAAAAAGTATGTAAAAAAAAAGAACAAGAAAGAAAATTAAGCAATTACCAGATGTCAAGACACGACAAAGCGATGTTTGTTCAGTACACAGTATTCACAATATGTCTGTTGATTACACGGCATGACTAAGCTCGTTCGATTTTCCGGGAAAAGAAAAACACCTCCAACACGCTGACATGATTCTATTTATATCTCAACATGAGATTGGCTTAACGTGAATTTGTATTGTGTAATGTGCATTAAAATTATGTTATTTGAAATTATAATAAAATAGAATACAATATATATAATAAAGAACTGTATGTGAAGAAAAATGAGCCAAATAACACCTATATATGATCAAGCGTTAGCATTATAATCTTTCTGTAAAATGAAAAGTAGGACCAAGTTCTTTTCGTGCTGGCAATGATCCACTAGGCACACTTACAATACAAAAATGTTGTAGGTGACAAACTGAATAGAAGTGTTGAATTAAAGTGTAAATATTTTAGTTGTTGGTTTTACTCACATTCCTAAAGGAATTGGCAAAATGCGTTTAACTTGATTTCATAACATTTATTTAGGGGGTATAAATATCAACTTTGGATTTTTTTTTAGCAAAATCACAATTTGTATACAACCACTTACTGTTTCTTCATATGTGCTATATCCGCGTCATCTAAATAAAAAAATCGACTTAAATTTTCAGACTTTTTAATTAAATAACTTTAATCACCATCAAGCAAGCAATACAGCAAAACACACCAGCACACCACATCAAACATCTATAATGTTTTCCATAACAAGTAGTGGGTATAACGTGATTAAAAACTCAAATTGAAAATATTTATGTTATTATTATGAACATAAAAGTAATATTATAAGCTTATGCTTAAACAAATTGAAACAATAACGATCAATGTCACATAGTTTTATAAGCATTTTATTTTCAGCCCATAACATGTTTTTTGGATAATATATACAATGTATATATATATAATATACACACAAAAATTAAACGTACATGAAAATATTATTTACCCAATAATTTAATTTGGTTTTTCTTTAGGAGTTTTTAAGTTTATTAATTTGTTCAGGTAGGCCTTGTCTCTTTACACAATATAACATTAGATGTTTTAAATCTTTCACCAATGTCTGTCGGCGTGTAGACATAGTACAGATTTTTAACTTTACTTTTTCCTCTTTTCAACTTGTATGCGATAGTTAATTAAAAAAAAACAATCATCTGTCATTTGACACGATAACAGATTTTGGTACAATTTTATTGCAAAGTGGCCTTTTAGTCAATGTATGCAAAATAAATAAAAAATTAATTAAAGATACACATTTCCCATTTTAATATACTGTTATTTATTAGCCATGTATATTCATGTTATAAATAAGGTTGTGACTTCAGGCCATTAAATATGATAAAATAATCGCGAAATAAACAAAATGGGTTGGTTTTTAAAACTACATTTAAAAAAAAAAGCTCATTACTGTATATTATTAAACGGCAACATTTTCAATTATATTAGCATTTGTTTAATACTCTGAGTATTAATTAAATAATACAAACTATTTTTTTAAAGCAAGGAATATATTTATTATATAAATCTTCTTAATAACAATAGGGGGAAAACTATATAGGATTTAAATCTACAAAAACGAAAAATATGTTGTGGTAAAATCAATATAATCCAAGTAGAATAAAGGTGGTGCTATGTAAATAGGGTAAATAGAGTGTGAGGTGACCATAGTTACAGCTTACAATACACACATGAAACAGATTAATAAAAGCTGCTCAATTATGATATTTGTAACCACTAAACTGTCTTTGCTTGAAGTAATGCTTTAGCAACATAATAGAAAAACAGAACAAAAATCTACTTCGTCTTACAATATGAAACCGAGTTTGTGTAAAATCTATAATAATAGTTTCGCTGTCTGTGTATCTATGTATCTATGTATCTATGTATCTATCTGACAAGAACGCTCTAGAGAAAACACAAGCAATTTAAAAACTTTCACAGTGAAACGAAAACGAAATATGACGTCACATTTAGCATAGAGTAGAAAATAATATCGAGCTGGAGAGTGCACACAGTAATATGACGTCATTGATTCTCCAGTAAACATTGAATAAAAAGGCAATTTTGTCTAATCTAAGTGGTTTGCGTGAAGAGTTTCTTTAATACAATTCTTCGGGTAGGGGCGAAGCTCCACCCCCGCGTAAGAACGTCTGAGCCCCCCCCCCCTCCTCAACAACTCAAAACAAATTTCTTCATCGATACTCTATAATAAAATTACCGCCTAATCTAAAAAGTGGTTTTCTTGCAATTTCTTTAATGCAATTCTTAGGGTAGTGGCTAAGTGCGACACCAGTGTTTCTTTCAGACTTTTTCCTGACCGGAGGGGGGAACTTTTTCTAATCTAAAAAGTGTTTAGGGTGCAGTTTTTTTATTTCAAGCATCTCTTCGGGTAGGGGCGAAGCCCCGCCCAGTTTCTTCCTTTAGTTTGTATGATCTAAAAATGCAACCAGTGTTTCTTTCAGACTTTTTCCTCCCCAGAGAGGGGTGGGGTACTTGAAATTTTCGGGGGCGGGGGTAGAATTTTCTGGGAGGGGGCGGACACTGGAAAAGTATATAATTATATTTCGTTGAATGGGACGGTAGACATATTTTGCAGTGTGTGTGTGGGGGGGGGGGGGGGGGGGGCGAAGCCCCCTCCTCCCAAGTAGAGTTGCCTGAAAGAAACTCTAAATGCGACTTTTGTCATGAATGAGATTAGATGCATGGTTTAGGGATATGCCTATGACTATATTTTGTATAAATTAAAGTACCGAGAAAATAGACAGCAATATCAACCTAGAACCCGTTGTATCCTTCCTCAACGGGCCAATTTTCTCGTAAATACTATTAAAGTGGCAGACATGATACAACAATATTTACATGGTGGAAGACTATATGCAGCATCAACGCCGCGTTTACGTTGTATTATATTAGTATATGAAAACTGTTTAAAATACAAAAAAATACAAAATTGTTAGTTTTATATATGCCGACCAAAAACTGATATTTTAAAATTGTCAACCTAAATTATACAGACGCAAAGTTTTCAAACATAGTTGTTAAGGTAAAATAGTCAAACATATAAATAACCGAACCAAATAATTAAAAACTTCTGTAACTAAACCTTAATATTATTTAAAATATAGAAAAAGGTGTGACAGGATATTGAGAAAGCAAATTAAAAATGTCATTTTAGCAAGTGCTTCTAGGCATGTTTTAATAAAAACAAAACATACAAAATCATTTTGTTAACATGTTAGCTTATGTTTTAAAAAACAAACAGGTGATTACTTTCTTTAAAGAAATAATGTTATATATATATATATATATATATATATATATATATATATATATATATATATATATATATATATATATATATATATATATATATATATATACATATATATGTATATATATAATATATATACATATATACATATATACATACATATATATATATATATATATATATATATATATATATATATATATATATATATATATATATATATATATATCTATATATAAATCTATATATATATATCAAGCAAAGTAGTCAAGTGCCCGATAGGGCACTTCCCGGCGCCGCAGGCGCGTCAAATTTAGCACGATGGTGCCTTGGGGCAATAGAACACGAGGGCCGGTGACGGTTGGCCGAAAAGTCTACGGAGAGGGGGTCAAAACTGACCTCGACTGACCGGCGCCTTATATGGGCTATATTACGAAAAAACATTTCCTCCGACGACCCCCCTTGAAATTTTGTGAGGTGGTAGGAGAACGCCTTGGGGTGTCCCAAAAAACTCGCCATGTCCGGGAAAATTCGTTAAATGGGTCAAAACTGACCAGTCGTATTTCCCTATATAATCTTTGTATTTTATGGGAAAAACAGAGGGTGATTTCAAAACGAATTTTAGGGCACTTACCGTCTTTACATCTGGCTAATTGTTTGCATGCTCTAAGGTAAATGGCTTGACCTTTAGGGAAAACTGTCGGTTTCACTCAAAGCCCTCGACGAGGGCTAAAAAGTGACCGCGAGTGAAATTCTCTTTATATGAGCTCTATTACGAAAAAAAATTTCCTCCGACGACCCCCCTTGAAATTTTGTGAGGTGGTAGGAGAACGCCTTGGGGTGTCCCAAAAAACTCGCCATGTCCGGGAAAATTCGTTAAATTGGTCAAAACTGACCAGTCGTATTTCCCTATATAATCTTTGTATTTTATGGGAAAAACAGAGGGTGATTTCAAAACGGATTTTATGGCACTTACCGTCTTTACATCTGGCTAATTTTTTGCATGCTCTAAGGTGAATGGCTTGACCTTTAGGGAAAATTGTCGGTTTCACTCAAAGCCCTCGACGAGGGCTTAAAAGTGACCGCGAGTGAAATTCTCTTTATATGAGCTCTATTACAAAAAAAAATTTCCTCCGACGACCCCCCTTGAAATTTTGTGAGGTGGTAGGAGAACGCCTTGGGGTGTCCCAAAAAACTCGCCATGTCCGGGAAAATTCGTTAAATGGGTCAAAACTGACCAGTCGTATTTCCCTATATAATCTTTGTATTTTATGGGAAAAACAGAGGGTGATTTCAAAACGAATTTTAGGGCACTTACCGTCTTTACATCTGGCTAATTGTTTGCATGCTCTAAGGTAAATGGCTTGACCTTTAGGGAAAACTGTCGGTTTCACTCAAAGCCCTCGACGAGGGCTAAAAAGTGACCGCGAGTGAAATTCTCTTTATATGAGCTCTATTACGAAAAAAAATTTCCTCCGACGACCCCCCTTGAAATTTTGTGAGGTGGTAGGAGAACGCCTTGGGGTGTCCCAAAAAACTCGCCATGTCCGGGAAAATTCGTTAAATGGGTCAAAACTGACCAGTCGTATTTCCCTATATAATCTTTGTATTTTATGGGAAAAACAGAGGGTGATTTCAAAACGAATTTTAGGGCACTTACCGTCTTTACATCTGGCTAATTTTTTGCATGCTCTAAGGTAAATGGCTTGACCTTTAGTGAAAACTGTAGGTTTCACTCAAAGCCCTCGACGAGGGCTAAAAAGTGACCGCGA